GAGAAATTATGATGATGAGAGAGAGAGATAGAGACGGGGGGGGGGGGGGGGGGGGGGGGAGAGAGAGAGAAAGAAATAGAGAGAGAAAGAGGGTTTTAAAAACAGAAAGAAACAGACTTACAGAGGCAGCTCGAGATGAAAAAAAATAGAGAGAGAGACACACACACACACACACACACAGGAAAATGAAAAAAGATGATATTGAAAAAAACGAACGAACAAATATTTGAAGTTCATAACAACATCTTGATCAAATATATCGGTGCTGAATAACAACATTTAGTAGGGGGTAGAAATGAGTGCCCAGGAAGAGATTGTCTGTTTAGAACCAGAAGGACGCTCTGACCGAGTTAAGGCCCTCCTAGCTCACAAGAGATGATACATTTAGTACATTATTGTAGTGATGAAAAGTATGTCCTGTTCTTTCTAGCAATAAAATAGTTCAGAACATGGCCTAAAATAAAAAAAAATGTAAATGTTTGAGATTGAAAAACGTTTATTCCCTTCTTGTATCAAATGAATATATGATGGAAGTTTACGTTCAAATATAGAGGAAGAATGCAAGATTATCTAAAAGCAATGAAGCTTGTGATAGATGCACCATAAATAAGATGATTATCAAGTATTTATTATTTCTTGTATACTTGAATTTGTGTTTTTTTATAATTTGAATTTGAATCAAATTATTCAACTGAAATAGACAAAAACATCCTGAGATTCTGGGAACCTTTTACTTTTCCACTCTTTCATGAAATACTCTTGTTACTTTGCTTTTCAATTGCTTTCTAAGAAATGATGCTTGGACTGAACAGGAACAAACAGTCAAACATAGCTATAAAGTCTCTCCTAAAATGTCAATTTCATCCCATGAATTTATTATGTGCTGTTTAAATATGTCGTTGCTGCAGTCATGTCAAGAGTAGGTTTGGAAGAAAAAACTCCTGATGTGTTGATTGAAGTACAATGTTGAATCTTACATCTTGTGTCAGCTAGAATTTAACATTTGTCAATACATTAAAATTGTATGTATGCTACATATTTTTCAGCAAGTGTCAACAAAATCCTCTTATTCTGCCATTGCTTATTTGAGGAGGGACATTGAATGCATCCAAGGAGAGCGGGGGTGGAAGTGGTAGTCGTAGTACCTCAAATCTGAAAGTAGAAATGTTACGATTCCAAAGACATTACAAATATAATTTCAGGGCAACTGCAATATCGTCTTGTTTATATCACATGTTTCAGATTAGGCAATATGTAATACTAGCAACAAAAATATTAAAACAAAGAGGAAAGGATCTAAAGATACCAGTAGGTAGACAATGGGAAGATGAACACTTTCTTCTCAATATCTTGTACTGTTTAACCTCAGAGAAACAAAAAGTATAAAGTGGTTTCTATGTTTCCATGCTATTCTGCACTTTATAACCCCAATCAGACATATCACTTTAGGACAGCCTGGGTTACTAATAGACCATTATCTGAACCTTAGATGGTCATGAGCTGTGGAACTTGTCCAGTATCAGTCATCCCCCCTTCTATCTCTCTCTCTCTCTCTCCCTCTCTCTGTTTAAAGTAGTGCTTGCATTTTCATAATTTTATTATACGAAATTGTTTTCACTGGCTGCCTGCCGTATCAACAAACGAAATTAACAAAAGACTTCACTTTGTTTCGTTGACAATAAGCCGTAGACGAAAGACTTCATGCATGGCTGATTGTCAACGAAACGGAGTTAAGTCTTTTGTCAATTCTGCTTTTTGCTACGGCAGGCAGCCAGTGAAAACAAATTTGTTTGCTAAAATTATGAAAATGTAAGGGCTACTTTAAACAAACAGAACTTAGTCATTCCTTACTCATTTTTCCCGAGTAAGGTGTCATATGAAAGGGCAAAAACCCAACTTTCTAGAAATGTGATTTTCTCTTTGAAATTCAGATTCCGCCCGCCAAATGACTTTTTGGTTTCCTCTCTTCAAATTGATTTTAATCACTCTTGCGTGACATATGCATCATATGAGTTGCATCAAATGAAAGAGGAGGATTTAAGCTTTCCAAATATGTGTCATTTATTAATTATAATTGTGATTAAGTTATGATAAAACACCGATAATTCTCGGTTTCATGTTTTCTGGGACGCACTGTATATATCTTTCTCTTTCTTTCTTCCTCTCTCCATTTCTCTCTCTTTTTCTCCCCTCTCCATCTCTCATTCTTTCTTTCTCATTTTCTACAGTTCTCTCTCCCCCCCCCCCTCTCTCTTCTTCTCTGCTAAAGCCAAAACCTTTCATGTTTAGCAGCTATTGAACTTCTCCCATCCCTCCTTTCTGCTCTCTTTTTCTCTCTCCATGCCAAATCTTTCATGATCAGCAGCAATTGAACTTGTTCATCTCTTTTTTTCAAGTCATGTCTTGCTCAAGTGCAAATACCCTCCAATCTCGGCACTATACATTCTTCTTCAACCCAAATATGCCACCCTCCGTTTGAGCTTTATTCTTCCTGCTCCACCCCTTCCCCCTCCCCCCTTCTCCCTCTTTATTCCACCGCTATCTTTCTCCATTTATTACCTCTCTGTATTTCTCTTCCTATATAATCACCTTTTCTATTTCAATCATTCTTTCTCCCCCTACTTTTTCTCTATTTTCTCCCTATTTCTCCCACTCTCTCCTACTCCCCTCTCACTGTATAGATAAGGCAAACTTTTAATTACCACATCTAATATTGGTATTGTGACAAGTTAATGGGAACTTTAAGTTTGCTTTATAATGATTCTGTGTAAAAATGTCAGTAAAGTAGGTTTATAAATAGAATTATATCTACAATATAAATTGGTATCCACCAAGCCACAGAGCCTGTCATCTAGCATCTATTTTACAGTCAGGGAAAGTGACTCATTCCTGTGCACTTGTTTAACGCATGGCCAAACTCGCCGCTCTCCAGTGTATCTCCAAAATTGTGGTATGGCCGATTGCTCTCAAAATCAATCCCAAATCTATGAAATGGAGAGCGATAATGAGTCTCTTTCAATTTAGGAGTCCAGAGAGAAAGTTAGGTTACTGGACACCGAGGGCATTTAATTAGGACTGACCCATTTTAGGATCGTGATCTCTTTGAGAATGGTCATCAACCATAAGATGATATGATGAGGTTCTCTCTCGTTGGTTCCATTGATTACTTTCTTGGGACCTCATCGGTCCCTCCTGTGGTAATAGTTCATGATGCTAGCCTTTTAGTCCTTGCTCATCACCAGCTACTACCCACCAGGTTGCTTGACTACTGCTTGCCCAATGGCACTCGACACAAGATGTGAAGGTCATGGGTTTGAGCCCTAACATGGTACATTTATCCTGAGGCAAGATATTAATGTAAGATTAGGCGCATTTATGCTGTCAAATACCTCATTTCAAAATATTAGGCCAGTTTAGCATTTTTGTTTCTTTGATTGAAATTCATGTTTAGTATCTATCCCTGCCAGAAGAGCTGAGATTGATTCACATAACGCTTTGCATACTATCAGAGAGAGAGAGAGAGAGAGAGAGAGAGATGGACAGACGGACAGACAAGTATGAGCGAGAAAGAGATGGACAGACAGTATGAGAGAGAGAGAGAGAGAGACGGAAAGACGGACAGACAGACAGACAGACAAGTATGAGAGAGAAAGAGATGGACAGACGGAAAGACGGACAGACAGACAGACAGACAAGTATGAGCGAGAAAGAGATGGACAGACAGTATGAGAGAGAGAGAGAGAGAGAGACGGAAAGACGGACAGACAGACAGACAAGTATGAGCGAGAAAGAGATTGAGAGAGAGAGAGAGAGAGAGAGAGAGATGGACAGACGGACAGACAAGTATGAGCGAGAAAGAGATGGACAGACAGTATGAGAGAGAGAGAGAGAGAGACGGAAAGACGGACAGACAGACAGACAGACAAGTATGAGAGAGAAAGAGATGGACAGACGGAAAGACGGACAGACAGACAGACAGACAAGTATGAGCGAGAAAGAGATGGACAGACAGTATGAGAGAGAGAGAGAGAGAGAGACGGAAAGACGGACAGACAGACAGACAAGTATGAGCGAGAAAGAGATTGAGAGAGAGAGAGAGAGAGAGAGAGAGACGGAAAGACGGACAGACAGACAGACAGACAAGTATGAGAGAGAAAGAGATGGACAGACAGACGGACGGACAGACAGACAGACAAGTATGAGAGAGAGAGAGAGAGAGAGACAGATAGTATGAGAGAGACATGTACGATTTTCAGCATCTACACTTCTGTGTTTTCATTCTGTGATCAACAGAGGGGGCTATATCTTTTAAGTTCATATAAAGATAGCAACAAATCTACTGTCTTGAAGCAATGTCAGATGATTGGAACTCTTGGAAATATGGCAGCAATTTATTCCGGCCGTTCTGTTGTGAATGTGATGCATGGTTCTAGAGTGTTCTTTAAGTATGATTCTTTTTTTCAAAAGAACTAGGCCTTTCTTCCTCTTGAGTTAAACATGGAGATGTGAATTGAAAGAGTGTTTTAAAAACAGATGAATCAATACGTGGAAACAGTTGATTGATTGATTTACGTGTAGAAATATGGATGGTTAAATGGTTGCTTGAATTATTAATTGATCAATAGATTTGTTTTGACTGATTGATTGAGTGATTGATGATTTTTTTTAAACTGATTGATTGATCGATTGCTTAATAAATTGATAGATTGATGGATTAAGCATGATAAAACTAATTATGAATTGAGTATTGTGAAACTATCACTAAAGTATTTGAAACACATAAATGATTTTTAGTCATGATTTAACAACTTTTTGTTAAAACATCGCCTTTCTGGACATTTCATTGTTGCTCTCCATTGAGGCTTTAAGAAGATACGATTGATTCCTCAGTTTACAATGATCAAACTATTATTATAGTGACTGATACACATATATATTTTTAACATTATTTTAAAAGAAAGTTTTAATGATGATGATCATGATATGTGTTTTCATGCATGATTTAACACAAAGTCTCCAATTATTTTCATATTTTATGATGCAGGCCATCAAGGAATCTCTGGATGATCTGGCTCCATCCATCGAGTCTGTGAAGGAGAGAGAGCATGTGGTGGTTTCTCAGGTCGGAGCTACACAACGTAAAGAGATACAGGACGTGATGGATCGTCTCAGAGAGAACTGGCAAAGACTCAACAGAGAATATGAAGAAAGACATGGGTAAGTCTTTACTTGAGAGAGAGAGAGAGAGAGAGAGCAAGAGAGGGAGAGAGATTGAGAGAGAGATATTGAGAGGAGAGGGAGCTATACACAATGTAAAGAGATACAGGAGTTGATGGATCACCTCGGGTAGAACCGGAAAAGACTGGACAGAAAATATAAAGAAAGACATGGGTAATTCTAATGAGAAAGAGATACAAGACGGAGCTTAATGCAGAGACTTGACCAAAAGTGTAAAGAAAGTTAGTATAGGTAAGTTCAGAGAGAGAGAGAGAGAGAGAGAGAGAGAGAGAGGTCCAACTAGCAGATTTCACCAGTAGTCATAGCTTAGATTAATTCAAACAAAGACTCCATTAAGTACTCCTTTCTTCTGACTCTCACATTCTATTATATTCAACCTCAACAGTATAATCAGCAGCAGTTAAACAAAATACATTCCTGACTATTAAAAACTCAAAAAGAGCTAGAAAACTTTTTTAGAAAGTAACAAATAAATTGAAGACAAAAAAAAAATTAATAAAAAGAAAAAATGAAATTCACTACATTATCCCAAAATAAACTTGTGTAAGTGAAAAAAAGAGAATATTGTACACTGATTATTTCCATTAATGTTATTTTCATGCAGTCCTCCATTCTCAATCATCTCACTTCACCGGGGTGTGTAGAGCTATGTTATTACATGTTCAGATATACAGATATGCATGTGTTTTGAGATCATTCAAAATATGTCTTCTAATTTCTTACAGTCAATTTCAGCGGTGCTTTGATCAATGGCGACAGTTCCATTGTGATATGAGAGACTTAGCATCCTGGTTATCAGAAGCAGAGAGGATGATTCAGGATAGTAAGAGAGCAGATGGGAGACTTCATATTGAGAAGGCATGCAAACACCAACCAGTAAGTACTCCTTTTTTATGATACACTTTGTAATTATTCTTCATATCCAGAGTACCCATTAAGATTCTCTAAAAAGGTAAATTCCATATTTTTCTAGACAGTGATGACCTGAATACTGCACTAATGTACACTTTGTTCATCTGCCTCAGTAGAGTACTTGAAAATAAACACAAAATGATATGTAAGTGACTACTTACTACCCTGAATTTTGAAATGGGCTTGCTAAATGCTTGCCCAGTAGCAGTAGCTAGTGATGCGTAACATTTCTGATTATGGCTTTGGCACCAGACTTTTTTCAAGTCATATTTTGAGGATATATGTATATATCGTCGGCCGGGTGGCAGAAGGGCGTAAGCGCACGAGCAACTCGAAAATTACTTTTCAAATTATTCGCAATAAAAGATTTGTTTTATTTTTAAACTGCTTTCCGTCCCGAAAATTGGTTTAAAACATAAAAGACTAACGCCCTTCTGCCAGCCAGGTGACGATATACGGAGCCTGAAATGTATGACTGTGTAGAAAGATGAACAAGACCATTGTATCAGATTCTGCAAACTTAACAATGGGATAACAAACATGTTTATGAAACACCATCTTTTAATTTTGTGAAACATCCAAACGATACACTTTATATTGAAACAGCATATTCACAAAAACATCCATGTTTTTCAACTCAAAGAACATGCATACAAATTTCAACAAATGAGCTATATACTTTTTAAACATATTTTACGACCCGCACTAAGACCTTTCAATGATTATGTGTGGTATGTTTTTATAGTACACCCTTTACCACCCTCCTGCTATATTCTATTAAATTGGCAATGATTATAATCACCCATTTGCTTCTCATGTAATCAATTTAGAAGATTAACATTCACAATACGTCATGGTATACCTGGCTGCAAAGATGATTCAACAACAAAAGGCATTTGTATATCGTATATTTGTGACAATGCTGCAAATATAAATAATTTTAGTGAGGCTCTGGGGAGTATAGTATACAGTAACTACTACCAAAAATGTTATGGGATCCATTATTAGATTGAATATGATGTATTTATATCAGCTTTTACTTTAATCCTTTCTACTTGGATCCAGAAGGGCTTAGTTACATAAACAGTTAATGCCCTTTTGACTCTCTCCAGAAGATCAGCCTTTTCACACACAGCTAAAATTCTATAAAGATGATTAGTTTAAAGGGCTTTAAACTAATCAGCTGTACATACAACATCATTCACACACAGAAATTTTGGTGCGATCGTTAATCGTTTCGTGATTAACTACTGCTCTTAAAATGTGCAGTAGTGCCATTGTGCATTGAAGGTCATGTCATATCAAAGCGCACGCTCCATCCAGTTTAAACACATTTAAACACGAATAACCGTTCACACACAAAATGTCAAGCTCTCTAGATACGAACTTCGTATCTATCCGAACATCGTATAAACAATGTTCACACAGGGAAAATTTTCTTTAAACATGTTTAAAACTGTTGAGTTAAACACGTTTAAACTAATCATCTCTAGATACGATGAATTTTAGCTGTGTGTGAAAAGGCTGGATATATATTAATTGGTCAGTGGTATGAATAGTATGATAAAGACTATCTACGGGGTTAAAAAGGTTGGAAAGAGCTGTAGTGATTTTTTTTGAAATTTTGTACATATGTTCACTGTAGGGTCTATTGTCATTTTATAAAATATTTCCAGGCGTATTTATTTCAACTAGATTATGCGAATTGTTAACATTAGCCATGTAAAAAAACACACAACATATCAAATCTATGCATACTTCACTAAGTTGGAAATAGTAAATCTCATAAGCTTTGACAGTTTTAATTCAGTTTCCTCTGCTCCCTAAAGAAATGAATTAGAAGCACTTGGGTCTCAGAAGCATGCATGTAGTTCCTATCAACTAGAACCAAGAAATATAAATTATTCCTACAAACCTTAACCTACAAATACTCATCATCGTGTTACCAATTCCATGCCCTTTCTCCTTCCCCTACTCCCAGAAATCAGAAACCAGTTTTCCCACTTTCCTAGCTAGCACCCATCTTGCCGTTGATGATGATGGTAAAACGTGCGTGTCGGTCCTTGCATGTCCAGGCACGGCTTGTATTGTATCACATGCATTTAGCGCATTTGTCACAATGCATTTTGGCAAATTGGAGATAACAGGTGGAAATCCAAGAAAATTGGACAACCAGTGTCACTCAGAGTAACATGTTCAATCAGATTTTGACATCCTTTCAGGCTGTATTGGATGCTTTTTAGCCTTTTGGCATGCTTACCGGTAGAACTTTACATTTATGTTTTTCTTTCAATATCTGTCCTTAATGCATCATTAATCAGACACCATTTATTTATGAACGAGTTCTTCATTATTTTTTCTTTCTTTGCTTTTATTTCAGTTCTTTTTCTCATTCTGTCCTCCCTGCATCATGATCAAATTCTCTATCTGTTGTTCATATCTTTTGTTTCTTTTATGTTTTTTCCATGAGAGTGTTTAGAGACGTAACAGTATAAGAGCTGCATTTATTATTATTACTAGTAGTTCCTTCATTTTGTTTTTTTCTTTCTTATCCTATTCTTTGTTCATCTTGGATCAGACACCATTTCCTTTAATATATTGGTTATTAATATATTTATACATTTATTTAATGACTTACTTTTGTCAGCATTAGCATGAGTTTGATACTTTCTTGGAAAAGCTTGATTTAGAATTTGCGTTTAATCGTAATGTTATTTTTTTTTAATTTTATGAATGCTGAAAATGGATTATGTACAAGAAAAAAATGTACTTTTTGTACTTAATAAATACATATGGATCATAGTATTGATACTTTAGACGTACAAATATTAACTTTCATTTGTTCACTGAAATAACAAATCTAATAATATACTTGCAAATACCAGCATTGATATATGTAATATTAAGAAGATAGTATGATAATCATATCAAGGAATAGTAAGTACATTATCCTATTTTAGAGTAAGTTACATGTAATACACATCAAATATTCTAATGAGTGAATTCTTGCTTCTTACTAGACAAGGTTATTGTTTTGATCTACATGGAGAATTCATATCTGGAATAGGTCAATAGGAATCAGCCTTTTTATTATTTTCATCTTTTACATAAGATAAGTGGTTTGTTATGTTGTAAACATATACAAATGAGATAACTGATTTCAAGTTGCATGTTTATCAGGGTCATATTTCATTAAGAAAATATGGCTTTAATGTATTTCTTTGTGCCCCTCTGTCACTTAACATTCAATACTGTTATCACCTATCCTTGTAGTAAAGCTCTTTAATTCAAAGCTACCACATTCCTAAATCCCCTCAATTCCCACCCCTATTAAACTCCTCAAATTGGCCACCGATGTAAGTCCCCTGTGGTGAGTTCATATCAGACACAGATCATGTGATGCCGTCGTCGCTCAACGAGCGAGGTCTTAATCGTAGATGCCACGGTTGTCTAGTTTTTCAAGCGCTACGTTCATTGATAGACAATTCTCATGCAGTCTGGGATGTTTGCCCTGTGTATGTGAATGGAAGCTGAATGGCTATATAGGTATTATCTTGTTTGTGTAGTCCCACCTAAACTACATGGTGGTGCACTGTAAGGGATGTGTTGAAAAGACGTGGTGCTGTATACGTGTGGATGTATATGTACCCTAAATGAGGTCAGTGTACACCTATATTTGTATTGTTTCTAATGAGTAACAGCCGAGAAAGGGAATATTAGGAAAACACACATATCCATGCATGTGAGGATAGATGTGTATTTAAAGTATGCCAAAAGAAATGGTTATGGATCCACTGAAATATACTTTGAACCAGTTTATAAATCCTTCTGCAGAATAGTAAAGAAAGCAAAATAGTAGTGGAAATACTCCTTTTTTTTTGTCAATGCGAACATTCATAAGGTTATAATTTCAAGGGGGGGGCTGGGGGCAGCCTTCAATATCCACCATCCAAAGTCTAATGCAAGAACAGTAAATTTGAAAATGCATGCATGTGCATATTGTGAAAACTGTCGGAAAATGGTTTTAAAAATTGTTTCATTTGAATCAAGGATATCTCTTCAAAATGCCTGGTCATCATCAGCTTTTATTTTATATTCTGATAGATCATGAAGTTTATCTCATGATTTCATACCAAACTGTTGGTATGAATTCTGGCTGAACATTGTAGGAATCATTATTGTGTAAAGATGACCTAAATTGGTTTGAATGGGATACCTACCTCTAGCTGCAGGGGCCTGGGAGCAGCACCCCTATATTCTATTTCAATAAATCCTTTATCCCTGGTGCAAAGGGGATGGGAGCTTTTTCTCATATTGCAAAGCCGTACTTTGATCAGCTCGGGTGAGTGTAAAGTCTGCATACCTCTTGTTGTTATAAAATGTAAATAATCATTTTTTTTCTTAAACAGTTTACATTAATATATGTCTTCGGTAGTCTTTATTCCAAGGTATATACAAACACATTTTTCATACCCATTTTGATTAAAAAATATTGGTATAATCTGTTCATCTATCTAAAATTAATGATAGATATTAAACAGACAGTGGGGATGTTTAATTTCTTGTCTTTGCAAACTTTCTTTTTACTCTTTCACATTCACAGTATTTACGTTTAATTATTGCATATTCCATCTTTGCCAGAATTCAAGATAACCATTAATTGAATTCAAACAGGGCATTATTACATACAAACAAATTTGTCCACCCTTTACACAAATCTCATTGCATATGCCCTTCCACTTTTACCGCAGCACTTGGCCATGGTTGTTTACATAATCAAACATAGGGAAATATTATTCGCCTCCCAATGAAAATAGCGTAATTTGTTGTAATTAGAGGAAAGCGCAAACATAGGGGAGAGGAAGCAGACTAGCTTCCCGGGGTCTTTCACTCATGCAGCAACTTATGTCAACATGATGTATTATCTGGAGAACTAGAAAGACATTGACTCTGTGTTAAAGCAT